TCTGTGACCCAACAAAAATACCTTCTTTAACCTTTGCCTCACTTAGTCTTGGAAATTTCTGACGCAGGTATTGAAAAGCTGACCCATCTCTATCTAATGCCTTGACAAAGTTTTTCATTAGGTCCAACTTGATATGCAGTGGTGGTATTAAATTTTTTTCGAATCTACTAATGGCATACATTTTTTTGACCTGGCTCTAGGAATTGACGAACAGGCCAGTTTTGTCTGGTGTAATGAAGTGCCTTTGCCCGACTGTCCCATTCACACAAAAAACAGCAAAACTTTGTGTAGCCTAGCTGCAGCCCAAGTAAAAGTGTAACAACTTTCAAATCGCCACAAATATGCCATTGGTGCTGATCGTATTTTATGCATGTCAATAGGTACTTCATATTGTCATATGATTCTTTCATGTGAACTGCATACCCTACAGGAAGAGATGGTAAAATATTTCCAATATGCAATAACACTGCCTTTAAACTCAATGTTGAACTGTCTATAAACAATCTCCATTCTTCTGGGTTATAGTTTATATTTAAAGCCGCCAGTAAGCCGTTAATGTTACTGCAGAAAACCAAGTTATTCTCCATATTGAAAATTGGTTCTAAGTCTTTGTGGCGTTTACGAAAAACACATACCGAAACATCGTCTTCTAACAAGTTCCACTGCAGTCTTGATCCAAGTAACTCTGCCTTACATTTTGGAAGTTCTAAATCTCTTACAAGATCATTTAATTCTGACTGTGTTATTTTGTGCGGTTGGTGGCATGACGTGCTCGGTATAAAATCAGGATCTCTTGACGTTGATGGCATATCTTCTTCCTGACGAATCACTCGATCGCCATGATCTGATTCGTTTTCTGATTCGCAAGTGTAGGATTCTGGGGGTTTTGGAATAGGATTTTCGTCACTGTGAGGCACAGGTCTCATCGCAGATGGTATGTTTGGGTAGTTAATAACCGATTTTTTTTTCTTGGACATACCTGTGGCTTGTCCAACACAAGGTACCATGCAAAAGTAACAATCATTAATATGATTTATAGGCTCTCTCCAAACCCTTGGGACAGCAAAGCGCATAGACCGTTTTTTGCCATTTAACCAGCTCCTCAGACTTGAAGCACATGTATTACAGCAGTTGTGGGGTGCCCACTGTTTGTCTTGATCACCTAGTTTACAACCGAAATAAACCTGATATGCCTTTGTTATTAGTGGAGTAATAGACCGTCTCTGAGACGCAAAAGTCACATCACTACACACGTAACAAAACTGATCTGGATTGTTTACACACTTTCGAGACATCCTGCATGAACGCTGTCAGCCAACTGAGGAAAAAATGGCTAATATAAAACAATATAATGTACACGTATGTATAACGTAACACAATCATGCCGATTACATCATCTTTCCTTGCCAAATATAAAAATGTAGCACGTGCATTCTTGTGAATTACAGTATATTAACACTGTCACAGCAGGAATACATATAATTACCGTATCTCTAAAACTTGAACTAATATTGAAAAAATAAGTTTCATTCCGGTTTTAGCACATTAAAGATAGTAATATTTTGTTGATTTTATTTAGGATATTTTTTGGCTGTGAATCAGTCAATTATAATTAGACATAGATATATTCAAATTAAGGTAATTTTAAGAGGCAAGAGACTGGTTATCAAGGTGGAGAACTTCTGATCATACAAGCTCTGTGACCCATCAGCTTTTGAACTTTAAGCGCAGTGAATAACGTGTACGAATGCGAGACAAACAAACAAACAGCGCTGCACGAATGTCATAAGTGCTATTGCTATTGTCGTTAAAAATGAATGCAGCAGGGATTCCAATATGGCGTAGCTGGATGACGCTTATCTTACCCTCGGAACTCAGCAAAGCTGCTTTCAATAGGAGCGCATTAGGTATTGGACCCTGTTTCATATGCAATGAACAAAAAGGTTCTCCAGCTGCGACACAGTGACGTAGAAGGGAATATTTTGTTTTTTGGTCGCTCTTGCTTCGATACGCAAGTGGGGAAAGAAGATATTTTTTGTGAGTGGGCAACTCACATCTGCTACACGAAATATTTTCTAATTCACCAGACCGATCCCCAGGATACTTTAGAATTTCTTCACGATGATATTCAATGTCCAAATTACCCGATTGTAAAAGTTTTGCTTGTTTATAGCCCGGCAACGAATATAGTTTTTTTTGCACGTCAAAGTCACAATGATCCACAAAATATCATACATCTAGTTGATATGCCAGTATAAGATTTCGGAGGCCTTTCACGTTTTTAGAACGAAGTTATGAGTTGTTTACAATTTTCGATTCTTGATCATAACTGGACCGACATTCAAGACCTACAAAGCTTGGCAACATGGCTTAATGAGTCGTAGATTCGCTGAATCTAATCTCGTACTGTTTACCCAACAGATTAGATCTGGGTGGACAGGTAGACGCAAAATAAATATTTTTCCAAGTGCACTTCTCAATAGATTCAATTTCTTTTTGAAAATCATATACAAGCTATTGCGAATCGTATTTATGTTATAGAATACATATCAAGTAAGCTCAGGTATTCCACAGGGGTCAGACTTGGACCCACTTCTATTTATTCTATTTATAAACGATCTAGATAACGTAATTGCGCATGATTTGAAAGTAGTCTCTGAAATAGCGACCATGGATGATTGTATTTATTTGCAACAAACCCAAAGTTATATTCATGAATGGTATGTTAAGAAAACAACAAAAGTTGGCACTGATTGTAGCAAAATACAAAACTATCAGTTTTTCTAGTTGGTGTTCAACTATAGGATTTATAAGGCACCTCAGGAACGATGCACCTTTACAAAGGATTCAGGAGTGTTGTTTGACTCACAAACCAACTGCCCATCATTCAATAATAAAACAACTTTGAGAGGTTTATTCATTACTTATGTGCGTATTAAACATGGTTAAATGCTTGAAATCTTCACTGTCTATGACCTAAAAATAGAGTAGAGAGAGTTTAGGGGAAGTTTTTGAAATACTGGAGAAAACACCATACTTTTCCAGAGGAAGGTATAAATTATCATATAATAAGTGACATATAAATCCGAACACCCAGTTTAAATGGTTTTATTTTAACAAAAGTTGGTGAATGTATTTATCTTAATGTAAATAACATGTGATAAAATTTTCAGCCTTGTCAGTTGAACATTCCGGTTTTTATACTGCTTTTTCTTAATTCACTAACGCTCTAAAAATGAATATTGCAGCCGCAGTAAACAATCAACGTTGGCGGATTTTGGTTCTTGACATCCTTTACGATCGGTTACGATGCCTAGAGTACGGAGACCTGTACGATTTCGTCAACTTAGTGAGTTTGATAGGGGCCGTATAGTGGGACTTCGGGAAGCTGGACTTTCGGGCAATTGCAGTTAGAATGCAAAGAAGTGTAGACACTGTGGTTAGGTGTTGTCAGGCATGGCTTCGAGAAGGCCGTACGCAAAGAGCAAGGGGCACTGGACGCCGCCGTAGAACAACAGACCGTGAAGATCGCCGCCTAAGATTATCGGCCTTAAGGGACCGTTTCTCCACTACCAGGTCCATTGCAAATGAATGGTTTGCAGAACACGGAAGACCTATTGGCATGCGAAGTGTTTACCGACGAATGAGAAGTTTTGGCTTGTTTTCATACCGGCCACACTGGGTCCTCCCTTTAACTCGAGAACACCGACGTAATCGCCTTGAGTGGTGCAGACAACGGTCACTCTGGGATCAGGAATGGAACAGTATTGTCTTTAGTGACGAATCTAGATTTTGTTTAGGCGACCATGGTCCTGCCAGGGTTAGAAGGCGACGTGGTAAAAGGAGGAATCCACAGTTTTTTTGTTGGAAGACATGTTCATCACACTGTTGGAGTTATGGTTTGGGGTGCTATAGCTTATGGTTCCAGGTCACCTTTAATCTTCATCAGAGGTAACATGAACGCGCAGCGTTATATCCACGAAGTTCTAGAATCCCATCTTTTACCCTATCTTGACACCCTGGCAGATCCAACTTTCCAACAAGATAATGCCCGACCACATGTTGCAAGAGTCACAATAGACTTCTTTCAACATAATGATGTCACATTGTTACCATGGCCACCAAGATCTCCCGACTTATCCCCAATTGAGCACGTGTGGGATATGATCGGTAGGAGATTGCTCAATTAGCAACGTCCTCCTCAGACTCTAGAAGCACTTCGAGAGGAGTTGGTGGTTGCCTGGAATGAGATACCACAGGAGGACATTGACCACCTGATCAGAAGCATGCCTAGGCGCGTTGGAGAATGCGTAGCACATCAGGGTGCATCCACATATTATTAAAGGTCAAAGGGCTTTAAAGCAGTGCAATCATTTTGAAATTTTTGTCATTTACTTATTATGCTTCATTAAGTACATATACTTATACAAAATTTTATTAAAATAAAACCAATTAAACTGGGTGTTCGGATTTATATGTCACTTAGTATATATATATATATATATATATATATATATATATATATATATATATATATATATATATATATATATAAAATTTGGCACAACGTAACTGATAGCTGATATGTTGTAGCTGGAATTAAACTGAATATGCTGCAGTTAAATTCCAGACACCGTACAGTCTTTTACTGACCTGCCGCAAAAACCAATCTTACGCTTAAAACGTCAGTAATAAATAGAATCTCACAACACGATATTTTCAATTGTACTGTTAAAAACTTAAGTAATGCTGCGAGTTTACATCTTTCTCTGTAAAGGATGCAGTAACTTACTTCCTTCCCAACTGTGGAGGTGCTACCGTAAGTAAAAGTACTACCGGAGAGGAGGCACACAGAGGACATAAGTCTATATTTCCCTTTAAGTTACAAATGTACGTAAAATGCGTTTTACTATAACAGCTGATTAGACGTCTTGTTATTGACATTCTTCAAGATTTAAAATAACTTGTTTCCACGATATTGAGTGAATAATTCTTCCCAGGTCCATTGATCTCAATCGGCTCCTATGACCAACTTCTTCAGAATATTCGCTTGAATAATATCCTGCAAGAAGTCCCGTTAGCACGCCGCTGGTATCGGTCTTCCCGAATCCCGTTGCGTCCCCAGCGAGGAAAGACACTTCGATCCGGCTCACCGTATGCATATGAATGTCTCCTTAATGGAAATAAATAGAGATCAGAATAAATTTTGCATTTTCCATTGTAGTTGCGGCTTAACGGCTGCACTCCAGCTCCAACGACGCAACGACCGGTAATCGGAGACCATACAGGGTAGCCCATAAAAAGTACGTTCCCTTTACAACATGATATTCGCTGGTGGGGACCGTCAAATCGATCGCGACGCGCTATGTAGCTGAAATGTGAAATCGGGAACCAGCTATTTTTCCAAAAGCACGCTCCTTACTGTTCCAACGTATGATGCCGCACAAAACATCATATACGCTGAAGTAGGTTCAATTCCATGCTATTCAACGGCAACACCGTGACTTGTGTGGTTGTCATCATTTTTTGAGGGTGCGACATGGTTGCCAGATTGTGCATTAGTATCCCGCAACGTTGCCAGCTCTACATATAAATCTGAAATTGCTATACTTTTATATATAGAGATTTGGTGAGATATGAGAGATCTTATAACAGCATGTGTTATTAACATTTTGCGCTATCTTAACGAATAGGTTCTTTTTTGTATATTGAAATAGCAACGTCAATAACACAAGCTGTTATAAGATCACTCATATCTACTTACTAATCTGGAAAGGTTCAGAAGAAAAACATATACTGCAAACACCTAAATATATATTTATTATATAAATCTCATACATTTTTCTACAAGCAAATAAGTTTTGATATTATTATGGTCCAGATGTTTTCATTCCGCAGCCTTTGTTGGCACCTGCATAAATCAAAAAACAGGAAAAAAATTGAACTGTGTTGATATTTTACTACAATTCAGATTTTTTTTTATTAGAACAATAATATTATTGTCCATGGATACCGACAGGAATTTTTCTCAGGGGTGCTGATCATCAAGAGAAATTGTACCTGCCGCCATAATTTTTTGACGAGCAGAGGCAGCAATTTTTTCAGAGGGGATAAATACTAAAAAATTCTCAAAGTTGTATTCAAAAGCATGATATACAAATTTCAAAGTCAAAGCGGATCCCCAGGAGAGACCAAGGCCCCCTGTGATGGGCACTCATGTTATTGTTCAATAACAACATGTAGCTTCGATTTCATTGAAATTATAGTGAGCTTTGCATATCAACCTGCTGCTCTGAGAATAGCTGATTTGAAATAAAGTATGGATATTAACTTGGACAAGAAGCTGTGCAAATCATCACTGGTTATTGAGTCATATAAAAACTTACTTATGTTATGGTCTGCAAATACCCTGCAGAGCTGTGCCTTCTGGTTGGATCACAAGTAATCTCCGCATTTCTGATAATGAGAATCTGGCTACTGACTGGTATCACTTTGGATGAACAGTTTTGATTTGGAGTTGGGTTGACAAGTTCTTACCCAACATATCTTGAAAATCACACCATCTGAAGTGATTTGGCAACGTAGCACACGCCTTGCAACAGAATTTTCGTTCCATCATTCTACACGGACATTGCTAACCCTCGGCCATCTGTCAAAAGGTTCATCTTACTCATGATTCTATGCCCACCATTTTGTGCAATCATCAAGTGGCTTCACGATGTAATGCTTAAGTTTCGTTTTAAATATTTTTAATCTGTTTTTAGTTTGTTCTTGTCATACAGCTGTGTGTAGTTTGTATAATTTTGACCATTGTACCATGTATCCAGCTTTCACCATGTTACTGGGTGTTTCCCTCATCCTTAACGTAAATATCATTTAGCAACATCCTCACATACCACTGTAAGTTAATTTAAATTCATTTTACACAATTGTTGCTACTTTTATCAAAGTAATTGCAGCTCCTGATGATGATCGCAGAGACCATTGAAAGCTACAGAGATTAAAAAGGTATAGAGTCCTAATTGCTTAAATTTTGCCAAAGTACCCAATAAAAGGCGGAAGCTTTAATTTTCACCGAACTGAATGACCACGTCTCAAGTTATATAAGTATATATATATATATATGTATATATATGTAATCTTTGATCACCATGGGTTGCCTGTGGAATGAAGTACCTTCAAGTCTGTTTCTTGAATGTTTCATGGCGCTCCATATGTATGTGGGTGTTGCATCAAAAGTCGTAATGTACTAACAAATACATCCTTCCAAGATAGACTCTCGCTATCACAAAACCCTTTTCCAAGGGATGAGGATGCTCCGTTTGTTGATTACACAGTCAGCGGAAGAAAATGAGTTGTTCTCTTATACAAACTGACCAACATGTTACGTATTATACTGCAGAATCCAAAATCCTTCATCATAAAAAAATGTAGTTTAAATAAGGATGACTGTAATAAAATTTGTGGTTACGAGTTAAAGAGAGGTGACTAAAAATGACCAATACACCGTCATAATTGTCAAAGCCGCCATTTTTCCTGGATGCCATTTGGCAAATTATTATTACCATTATTTTTATTCTATGTAAATGTAATGATCATTGCCAAGTCTCATACTCCGCGGCTTGTTAAGTATAGGTCGCTATAATTTATTTTGGACCGACCTCCTGCCATCCTCATACGACCATAGCTTTCTGCAAACAGGTCGACAAAGCTTCGGGATTATTAAGGATGGACCCTCCGGACAATAGCTTTGTTCGACTCTGTAGCTTCGTGAAATGTCCGCGTTATTGCTGAATATATTCTGAATAATATCAACGTGCTTTCTCCGTAAATGGAGATATAAGTACCCCCATGAGAGTTATCCTCAAAATAAGTCCGCCATCTATTACCAGAATCGACCACTGCGGAGAGCGGATTTCTGCTATTAGTTGGAACTGTTGGAGGTCTCAGTTCACGTTTAATAGCCTAGTCACCACGTGACCGCTAGGTGGCCGACGATTCTGGCTGTGAAGTAGATGCGGTCTGCTTCTCATTGGATAAATTAAACATGATGATTTTTCTGTTGATAGATCTTATTTCGATAGATCGTACCTTCGGAATAAGGAGTAGTTGCGATACTTTCGGTCGTTGCCCATAGACAAGAGAGCCTAGATCATGCTGATGAGTAGCCAAGAAGCACGAAACAGTTGTCTTTTGGTCGGACCGACGAAAGCATCATGTTTAGAGGTATCCTCCATGAATGGTTTTTTACCATTCTAATATATTCCAGCCCAATGAAACAATGGCGTCAAGTAGCTAAACTCTATACTTCCCATGCCTTCGAAACTGTATATACAGGGTTATCCAAATTAAGTGTCCACCATTAGTAACTTTGTTATTAGTGAAAATACAAAGTTGTTTGAATTAGCAAACTAGTAGCATTTTTAACGCTGGTAAAAATGAGAAATAAAAAAAACAATTGAGAGTCGTTATTTTGATTTTTTTCAGTAAAATAAAATTTTTTTAAATGGAAACCCCTGTATATTATATTTTTTTCTGTTAAAGCATCAAATTTTAAACAAAAAAGCTTACAATAACTTTTCTCCTAGGTTACAAATTGTTGAAGTTATGGCCTCCAATCTGAAACAATTAAATTGTATCGACAAACTTTATTTTCTACATCAACTTATAATCTTACAAAATACAATAACATTTTTTTTTAAAGAAGATGCTCGAAAACACCACCTTGTTCTTCAATACATTTTTGGGCACGTTTTTCAACTGCTCGAACTGTCTTAAGCATGGTCCTACCATCTATCTGGGTTATCTTTTCCCTAACGCAGTCTTTAACGCGTCAAGGTTATCGTACCTTCGCTTGTAAATTTGGTTCTTTAAGTAACCCCACAAGAAGTAATCAAGTGGGTTTAGATCTGGTGATCTGGGAGGCCACTGTATTGGGCCATTTGTTCCTATCCACTGATCATTAAAAGTAGTACTTAGAAAATGATAAGTACCTCTGGAGTTGTGGGCAGGTGCGCCATCTTGCTGAAAATGCAGATGATGTCTACTTATAAGATCCAATTCGTCTAAGAAATTAGTCAGAATTTCTGACATAAATTCCACATATCTTTCACCAGTTAGGGTTCCCTCATAAAAGAACGGGCCAACAATTTTTGAACCAATTATACCGCACCAAACGTTGAAACTGAAACGGACTTGTGGGCCTCTTGGATGTACTAACAAAAGATTTTCTCTTGACCAATAATGGTGGTTTTTTCTATTAAACATTCCAGAATTTGAAAAATTTGATTCATCTGTCCATAAAAGGTAACGAAAGTTATTTACATTTTGGCGACAGAAGCTAAGATACCAATGGCAAAAAACAAGTCTTCTCTCTGGATCCCCTGCCAAAAGCGTATGAACTGGTCGGTACTTATACGGAATAAATTTGTATTTTTTTAAAATCCTTTGAACAGTACCATAACTGAAATTAGAGTCCTTGAGAATATCTGCTATTGAATTCTCACGATAAGCTTCAAAATATCCAATAACTGCAATTTCCGTGGCCTCGCTTATTATGAATTCTTTTTTTGCCCTTGTTTTAGCAAAAACATTTTCGTTGCCCCTAAATTTTCGATAAAGTCTCAGAAAATATCGTTCATACGGTTGAATGCGAGCGGGATATAATTCACTTGCTCTCAAGGAGGATTTTCTGCACACTAAATAGCATTCTAACATATCACACTTTTCTTCATGGGAGAACATTTTTCTTTAAATTAATGACACAATAAAGCTTATAAACAAGTATTTACACTAATGTTTGACATTATTTGATTTTATCATTGTTTTCCAAAGCCTTCTAGTTGCGAGTATGTCCAGTTTAACAATTTGTCGCTTATCTTAATGCTGTCAAATCGCGAACGCCATGTTGTTTTCATAGCCGTCTTAATATTATAATACTGCAAATAATTAAAAATATTTATCGTTATTTTGACTTTATTTTTGACTTTAGCGGAAAAGTCATTATGAACTTTTTTGTTTAAAATTTGATGCTTTAACAGAAAAAAATATAATATACAGGGGTTTCCATTTAAAAAAAATGTTATCTTACTGAAAAAAATCAAAATAACGACTCTCAATTGTTTTTTTTTTATTTCTCATTTTTACCAGCGTTAAAAATGCTACTAGCTTGCTAATTCAAACAACTTTGTATTTTCACTAATAA